ATTTTACGTGAACAAACCACGGGCAAATTGTAGAGGATTTCACTATAACAAAAGAATTACAAGAATTTCTCTCTTTAATAAGGAGAGCACAATTGACAATACTATCTCTTATGCTAGGAGAAATTACTTACTCTCTCTAATAAAAGAAAAGACAATATTTAGGAGAAATCTCACTAATTTTTTTCTCTCTAAAAATACTCTCTCTTTCTCTATGGTTTTTAGTCAAGAAAATGGGATAATATGTTGAAGTATATAGGCATGTATATATAGACAACAAAGGCGGTGGTTTTGGCCATGGTTGCCAATTTTATTTCAATTTGTGGAGATGTTTTTGTTGATCAATTCAAAAACTTAACAAAGAAGAAAAATGCTTCTTATCGTCTTCCATTTGTTATCAATTTTGACCCAAAAGAAAGTGGCTTTATCACCACAACATGAACCGCACGACTTATTTAATACAATACATGCACTAAGTGTAACGCTCGTGAATATGTAATAAATTTAAAGATGTTTGATAAACACGATAAATGACTGAAATCCTCCTTGCTGTGCAAGGAGATAACTCTTCATTATATATACACGATAATTACGGTGGTAAATAAGGAAATAATCAAATACAATTAAAGAGATTATCCCTACAGCTATACAAGAGGATATTATGCTTAACAGAAAGGTAAGACAACATGTATCATGGAGAAATTGATTCTCCTTGCAGCACGTATCATGGAGAAATTGATTCTCCCTTATCACCCCCCTGCAAGGTGAGCGTGGCAGAAGGTGTAATGCTAAGATTACTTCGGAAGAGAAGAAACTGTGACTTGGTAACTCCTTTGGTCAGCGAATCAGCGAGCTGCAGATGTGAAGGAACGAAATCGATTTTCAAAGTGCCATTATCAACAAGTTCACGAACAAAATGGTAGTCAATCGCAATATGTTTAGACCGAGGACGAATGACTGGATTGACTGCCATAAAAATTGCACTTTGATTGTCACAGAGAATTTTAGGTGGCGCTGAGAGTGTAACACGAAGGTCCCAAAGCAATTGAATAATCCATGCAATATCAGTAGTAGCAACAGCTAAGGAGTGATATTCTGCTTCTGCACTTGAACGAGAGACGGTGCTTTGTTTATTAGAGGACCAAGAGATTAAATTAGCACCAAAAAAATAGCATAGCCTGTAGTAGAACGACATGTATCAGGACATCTAGCCCAGTCCGCATTAGAATATCCAAGAAGATCACGAGGGGACTTTTTATGAAGTTGAAGACCATGATAAGCAGTACCTTTAACATAGCGCAAAATACGCTTGAGAGCACGAAAGTGGTCCTCGGTGGGAGCATGCATGAACTGGCAAATGGAAT